GAACTCACCGTGTAAAATGGGTCTTATTTAAAAAAAAAAGAAAAAGACAAAGTTTTAGAAATAGCCCTCTTTAGATTTCTGAAAACTGACCTACATACTCTTCAGATCCTGAGGTTGAACGTGGCGATTGATCATAAGGAGGTGCCAGCTCCAGTGGTACCGTAGCTGCACCATCCCCTCTTTTTGGAAATGGTAGAGCAGAGGCTGGGAGAAAACTCAAAGGGATGGGCATTGTTGGACTTTGGGAAGGGACTTGTTGGGGGCATCTCATCCTGTTCCCAGAGGGAGGGACTAGGAGAAAGTTCTTCAGAGGCCCTGTTTGTATGGGCCCCAGCCTCAGCTCCAGGGAAGCCACATGCCCCCCTTAAACTCCCAGCCGACTCCCCAGTTCCATCAACATGGCCACCTCAGCCCACCTCAGCCCACCTCAGGGTCCCTGGCTCCCCATTCAAATGCCCCTCAGTATGGGAAGCCAGCACCTCTCCCATCGTGTGGGAGAACCTCCAGAGGCCAGCACTTCTCCCACCCTGTGGGAGCACCTCCGGACAGCTTCTGTGTTGTTCTTCCTTCTGAAAGGCTGTGATTCACTTCCTCAGTCATCCTTTCAAGGATTCTACTTCATGTCCCCCTCTCCCAGGAGAGCCCACCCCAACCCCAGAAGGCTTGTCTCCTAAAAGACATCAACAAAGTGTTTGACAACAATTTCCCTCAAACTGTCGTGGACAACGCTAGTGAAATGTAGACTGGGATGTGGTGAGTGGGTTTTGTTTTTAATTCCCCCGTATGTGGAACAGCCCAGCTGGGGGACTTAATTCCCCTGGACAGAGCTCTAGAAGAGCACCACTGGGCTCTACGTGTTCCGACTTTTCTCTTCTACTTTTTTGCCAAAATGCAACATCCATACGGGAAGTGCACGGACTACACGTGTATGGCTTGATGAGTTTTCATGAAGTGAGCCCACCTGTGTAGCCAGCCGCCAGATTAAGAAATAGAGCAGAAGCAGCACCCAGAAGCTCCCCCCACTCAAGAATTACCACTGTCCTGATTTCTAACCACCTAGCTTCATTCTGCCTGCTTTCGAACTTCGTATAAATGGAATCATACAGCGTACATTCTTCTATATCTGGCATTTTTATCTCAGCCTTGTGTTAGTGAGAATCATCCATGCTGTTGGGTGTACACGTAGTTTCTTTATTCTGGTTGCTGGGCAGTATTCCATTGTGTGACCACCCCAACATCTATTTATCCATTCCACAGTTGGGTATGTTTCCACATTTTTGTTAGTTGAGTAGATAAATATGAGCATGCCCATGCAGATGGAAACATTGGGTCAAAAGCATCGAGGTGACACAGGGACAGGATTCAACGTAAAGTCACGCCCCTCCATTCAGAATAGCAGCTGTGCCAGTATGTGGGGAAGAAGGAGTCGTGGTTACTCAGGACTTAACCCCAGATCCTGCCCACACCGAAACAAGCCCTTCAGACAGCCTTGGTGGCCAGTCCAGAGGGTTTGGGGCGGCATCTCAAAACCTTCTCCCTTCTTGCACACTGCTGGCCTTTGGAAGCATCTGGCTTGCCTCTTGCCCTCTCTGGGACTCCTTGTTAGGGCCTGCTCGGAAGCTGAGGTTCTCCCCTCTCCTCTGGCAGTAGCGCTTCTGCACCTAAGGGATCCCTAAGCTCAATGCCAGTTGACTGAGGAGAGCTGGAGATTTCTGGAGGTCTTAACCGCGGTGGGCAGTCACGGCAGTGGTTTAGGGAAAAGGTTTCTGACGGACAAGTGTGCCCATTTGTGCCCCAGCTCTCAAAGTCTCCACTGTGTTGTATCTTGACCGTACATGGAAAATAAGTCTCTGTTTCCTGTCCCCCAGGGAACTTTGGGGTGACACAGCTGAGGTCACTTCTGCCAAGGGCTGCGATTGGGTCTGGAATTCTCCAGACGGTGGATTGCTCCCACGTGACTGGTAGAATGTTTTGGGGGGGGCTGCTCGCTCATGTACGACTGTTCCTTTCAGACGGAGCCCTTAGAGTTCCAGATGAGTTCTCTGAAATTCGTTATTCAATAACTCAGCTTACTCATTGCCTCTGGCCAGTAAGGGCAAAGAGTGCTCGCAATTGTGGGGGCAGGGAGAGAGCGGGCACGGTGACGGCCAGTGTTTATGGGCATTTTCAGGAGTCACAGAAGCATAGCCTCGCTTAATGTTGTTCCTGGACTGGAAACTCTTGACCCCATGCCCCAGGGTCACGAAACCAGGTGCAGATATTTGACTCAGGAGCAGGCAAGCCCTCAGGGAGGCCAGCCAGCCAGAAGAGGGTCATGGGAATAGGTAGTGCCCAAGTGAAAATAGCAAGTCAGGGCCTGACAGGACACACAGTGACTGAGTGCTCACCACTGGCCGTATTTCCAAGGCCTTTGCTCACAGTGCCAAAATGGTGGACTAGGTCTTCCCAACAGCTCTCTAAGCCCCCTTCCGTTTGGCAAAACTCAAAATCTCTACTCCCTTCTCTGTCCCTCACTTCCTATGGGGCCTGACTCCTTGCCAATGCCTTTGAAATTAAGAATCCCAGAATAAAAATTCTGATAGGAGTCTGAGGATGTTCAGGTAGCATTAAGACTTTAACCAGAGCCAACAAATCTGTGTGTTTATATTCTCTTAGCTAAGGCTGCTGGGATCACAGCTGGTGGGCGCCTGCCTTACAGGTGTGGGAGAAGAAAGCCTTCTGTGCAGAGTAATTGATACCCATCTAGATGCTTGTATCTAGGGCCCTTGTTTCCAGTCAGCTGGCCCCAACATAAAGTTGTGCAATGGCCGATGGCAGATACCTGGCAGACACATCTTGCAGCCAAGTGAAATAGCTGCTTAGGTCACCTGGAGCCCCAGGGCCACACCTGGCTCTGTGGGAAAGGATGTCTGCCGTGAGTGATGGGAAGTTGTGGCAGCTCACGCACTCTGGGTTTGCCATCCCTGAGCCACGCAAGTGGGGCTGAGTGGTCGGTCGGTGCTATGTGGACAGCCACGGGGTTCGTCCTTCCAGGTGCGTTCTCATTAACGGGCATTTATCTTGATTTCAGGTGTTTTCCTACGTAGCCACTCTGCTGTACGTGACGCACGCAGTATTTTCTTTAATCAGATGGAAGTCTTCGTAAAGCAGCAGCAGAACTCTAGCTGAAAATCCAGACGGTGATCGGCCGGCCTTCCAGCATAACTTTCTAGAACGATGATGGGAAAAAAAGACCAAAAAAAAAAAAAAAAAAAAAAAAGCAGCGCTCTGTTTCTTGCGGTGTTACGTTACTCTCCCACATAGGTCATGGCAGGGGTTGGGGCTTGCAGTGTTTAACCTCCAAGCATTGAGCTGTCTTTCTAGGGTCATTTCCTATTTGTGAAAGGGGGCGCAGGGGTGGAGGTGGGGACTGTGATCTGAGAGACCACAGAAGGAAGATCCCCTGCTGGTCCCTGGACCTGATCTGGAGAACCGTCTGTGGGAATTGTCCACCGACCTTTCTGAGCACCCCCACTGGTGGCGTGTCTGTAAGTCTTCGTGGATATTCTGCAGGTCACAGGGAGGGAAACTCACCCAGCAGATATTTGCAGATGCCCACGGTGGAAGACGATAAACCTTTGTAATATTTACTTTATAAAATGCCTTCCTGTTCTACCCATTTGTGGAGTGTTTTGTGGGTTTTGTTTTTAGTTCCCCAGTATCAGGTACACCATCGTTCAGCTTTCCTTCTGAGGAATCCTCTGGCCTGCACTGACCCTTAAGAGACAACGTCAAATGGCTGTCCGGATGATGCCATGTGTGCCCGGCCCCTGCAGCCCTCAGAGCAGGGGACTGGGTTTCCCCCTGCCCAGGCTCTGCACTCTATTCAACAACAGGTGGCTAGTGTGCTCCCTCCCCCCCAACCGCGGTGGTCGTGCCTCTGAAGTGCTGGAGCCACACAGCCGTCAAAGGACACGCCAAGGGGGCCACCAGGGCCCAGTGCTCGGCCACCATCTGCACAAAACAGCAGAGCTTTGTTTGCCAGTTGCCAGCGTGATGCCTCTTTCCTTTTTCCTACAAGACCAAGTGGTCCGTGCTCAGACAGAACATCCTTTAAGTCAAAGGCAAACGAGATGCAGAAGGTGCCTCTCCCTCTTTGTAAAGCGGATCAGAAACATTCCAGGCAGCGCGCTCTGCATACTGTTGTCCTGGCTCCCAGTTAGCTGGGACGATCACCCATAAGCAAGGCACGCACGGGCTTACTCGTGCTTGCTTACTAGTCTGTAGTGCACAATTTCACCTGTTTTTCACCACATCAAAGGTGTAGTAAAGCCCGTGTGAAATTTTGCACTACAGATTATTAAGTAAGCACAATTAAGCCTGTGTGTACCTTGCTTACTGGTTAATTCATCCCTGCCATTAGTCATGTGGATAATAAACTGTTCTTGGAATTTGCTTGGGCCACTGCGTATCAGAGAAAGGGGACCAGACTACAGAGTGAAGGGAAGTGAACGGAAAGCAGGTTGCCCAGTGGCGAATGCCATGACTTGGTTGTGAGGCATCTGGGTTGAAGGCAGAGGGGGTGATTAGGCGGGAGGGCATCAAGCTAGGAATCCCGACAACACGAACCAGTTGCCTTCGAGTTGATTATGACTCATAGTGACCCTATCTGTGCGGAGTAGAATTGTGCTCCATAGGGTTTTCAATGGCTGTGATCTTTTGGAAGCTGATCACCAGACCTTTCTTCTGAGGTGACTCTTGATGGGTTCGAACCACCAACCTTTTGGTTAGTAGTCAGGCACTTAACCATTTGCACACCCAGGGACTCCTCCTGACAGCCCAGCACCCCCATTATTAAATGTTCCCTTATTCTATGGTTCAGAGAAGTGAATGACACCCCAAAGATGGGACTCCAGGCCAGGTGTCTCAACAAGTGGTCAGCTCCCGCCGTGAAGACATGTGGGCAGAGGCTGGATAACCTCTTGCTGGGGTGATAGTAAGCAAAGATTCAGACCTCAAGGAGAGGGCTCGCCTAGTTGACATTCTACTCCCCCACCCCCCAGCTTGGGGGCCCTCTGGTTAAACTGGGTCCCAGCGACATGCCCAGGAAGTCCTTCGTTACCCAAAAGAAATTGGAACCAGAAAAGGGCCACTTTTAGTGAACCCTCTTAAGACAACCAGAATTTCATAGTAAATATGAACAGACTGTCTGATTGGAAGTTTATTTGGAAAAATTAAACTACAAATTAAGAAATGAAAAGAAGTTTGTCACATATTTAACAAAATTTACAATCAAGTGTTGATCGAAGGTGTCTCGTTTTTTTCAACAAAATGGTAGCGTGACAGTTAGTCAGTGACATGATGCTAAAGAGGCCATTTTTGCTCCCACCAAAAAAAAAAATCGATGGCTTAGTTGAATTCCCAAGGGTTTCTCGTATTTTGAATTTTAATCATTCTCTTTAAAGAAACTTTTACGCGGTATTTCTCTATTTTCTCTTTTTCGGTTGGAAATTGGTGGAACTATGAAATCTGCATTAGTCAAAGGCTTTGCGGATGGTTCTCTGACTTGACTTCTTCCTTCCTCCGGTACTGAGTCATTTGTAAGATGGGCACTTTCATTATGCATTTGACTTGCATTCTATTTGCATTGGATGGTAATGGGACAGGCAAGGTTTCATTCCCAGTCTCAGAAAACCCCTCTCCTAGGCTGGCTGGCTTTTCCTTTCTCTCAGACCTCCAGTTCCCCGTTCCCCCGCCCCAGCCACCCCTGTCTGGCATCGTTGCTAGCCTGCCGCCTCCCCAAGTGCACCTTCCTGCTCAGCTCTGTCTGCACCCAGCTGTTTAGGTGTGTTTGCAGGTAGGTGTGCTTGCTGACAGGCAGCCCTTCCTACTAAGGACACTGCTGCCCTGGGAACCTGCGGTGCCTGGGGAGCAGGGGGCTAAGAGGCCCGTTGGGCAATAGTCGAAAGGGTCTCAGACCTCAGAGAATGCAGCGTGGACATTCAACCGAGTGGGCATTTCCTGGGCTCCTGCTGTGTGCTGGGACCATCGGTCCCTCAAGGGTGCAGAAGGGTGTTTCCTCCCCAACTTCTCAATGCCTGGCACGCCTCACCTCTCTGCATCTGAGTCCCGGGCAGGAGAGGACCTCCTCCAGGACACACCCAGGGGCCACTCCACGGGCAGGTGGGACAGTCCGTCAATGCCACCTGCTTGTAAACCCTGACTTGGATCAAAGGTCAGGCAGCACGAACAAACACCCAAATAGCACTGGCCCAAAGACCTCAAATTCACACCTGCGCAGCTGTCACACCTGCCATACCTTGAGCCTTTGCGCCCGTCAGGCATTGTCAGCACCTTGCACGTACAGCCTCCTGCCGTTCTCCCAGCGACCACAGGAGCTATGCACGGCTGCCATTTTTAAAACAACCAATTGTTGTCGAGTCAGCTCTGATTCGTGGTGACTCTATGCGTGCCAGAGCACAACCGTGTTCCATAGGGTTTTCAGTGGCTGATTTTTCAGAAGTAGATGGCCAGGCTTCTTCCGAGACACCCCTGGGGTGGTTGTGAACCTTCAGACTTTCAGTTCACAACTGAGCACTCTAACTGGCCTATGCTCCTGAGGGTCTGTCCCCTGGCCCCTCAGGGAATGAGAGTAACGTGATCTTGTGGTGGGTCCCATGTCAGTGAGGAGGGGGCTTCGGGCTGGGGGAGGATGAAGCTGGGCACTTGTGACAGTGGTCGGAGGTGTTCTGGAAGAGACTTGGAGCTGGACTGTGATCTGGCGGGTCAGTGCACCCCCTCGTGCCTTCCAAGGCCCTTGGGGGCCCAGCTCCACGGGGCGCACAATTATTTATGGACGTGTGTGGGTGAGGGTTCAAACCTGTACAGACAAACAGTGAAAGTCAGCGGTCGGTCAGATCCAACCTGGATATGTGCAGGCTCTCACCTTGCCTGGTGGGGGCTCTGGGTGCCTCCTGGGAGCTGCCTCCTGGTGGCCTTCCCTGTGCCGGCAGAGGGCCTGGGGAGGGGGCTTCTCCTCTGGAGGCCAACCATCCCGGCCCCCTTGAGCTCCGCATGGTCTCCCGGAGAGGCACAGTTTCTAGGAGCTGAGCGTCCTCAACACCCCAGAACCAAACCCTGAAGCACCCCCTGTTAGAGCTCTGCAGGTTGGGGTACTATTTTTGCAGAGGAGTGTGAATGGAGGCTTTAAGGCCTCCTACTGCTGACCTTAAAGAGACAGCCTCGGGTTCGAGCTGCCAGCCGTGGGCCCCACACAAGGGCCTGTTGTTCCAGAAATCAATCGGGGCCAGTGCGGGGTCACAATGGGGCCTTTCAGGGAGACAAAGCGCCTCTGGCCCGGCCGAGTGTTCCTGCACACGTGGGCACCCGCCCAGGGCATTTAGAATAGCGTGGTTTGGAAAAAAAGATTTAAAGTGATTTTCCCCACTCTCTGCATGGGTCAGTGGTCTTTGTTCTGTCTCTGTCAAACCCAGTCATGGTGACTACTAAGAGCTAGGGCGCTGGAAGCAAATACCGGGGTGCAGACCCTAGCTGGCCTACTTCTAGCTGTGTGACCTCCCTCTTCCCTCACAGGTAACATGGGGATAATCATAGTGCCAGACTCTAAATATGGTACCCAGAGAGGTTTGACACACGTAAGGTGCTTATCTTCCAGGACTTCCTTTAGCCAACACATGCTCAACGAGAGGGACATGAAGACGTGCCAGTCCCACTGGGTGCCCAGTGCTGCTTGAAGTGCTGTACTTCTTCACTTCATCCTTGTGGTAGACACCTCTTGCATGAATAGCCCGGGCACAGTGATCTTAGTTATCTAGTGCTGCTGTAACAGAAATACCACAAGTGGGTGGCTTTAACAAACGGAAAATTGTTTTCTCACAGTGTAGGAGGCTAGAAGTCAAATTCAGGGTGCCTGCTCTAGGGGAAGGCTCTCTCTCTCTCTGTCTGCGCTGGGGAAATGTCCTTGTCATCAGTCTTCCCCTGGTCTAGGAGCTTCTCAGCCCAGAGACCCCTGGTCCAGCAGAGGCATGTTCCTGGTTCTTCTTGCTTGGTGGTAATGAGGTCCCTATGTCTCTCTGCTCACTTCTTTTATATCTCAAAAGAGATTGATTTAAGACACAATTTAATCTTGTAGATTGAGTCCTGCCTCATTAACATAACTGCCGATAATGCCACCTCATCAACATCATAGAGACAGGATTTACAACACACAGGAAAATCACATCAGATGAC